GATTGTGACAGATTTTTCTAACACCTGGGGTAATTAAAAACAACTTTAAACTCTGAATCTGCTAGACAGATCAAAACAGATGAGGAGGAGGACAGGTGCATGTCCTGCCTCCCCCCCCCCCAACATAAATCCATGCCCCATCCAATATGAAACCCTACCAGTTCCTGCTTAGCTTTTGCAAACGTTCTCGCAGTTTTCTCGCTGCGCCACTCCGAGGAGCCCCTTTCACACCTGGCTCTCTGCCTGCGCACCTGTGAAGAAGCTGCAGCCCCGCAATTACCAGAACCCTCCAAGTGTCCCTATTTTCCCAAGGACAGCCCCCGATTTACAGAAGCCATTCCGGTTTCTGATTCGATCCCGGAATGCCCTGCTTTTTTCCCCTTAGGACGTCTCTACATCAGAGAAATTTGGAGGGTACATGGCTATTAGGATGGGTCCCTATTCTCGTAGGGAGAAACTGTTGGAAGGTTCTCCAGGGAGTCCCTCCTCACTCACCGACGCACTCGTTGGCCTCTCGGGCGGTGGCCCTCTGCCAGGGCCGGTCGTAGTGGAAGGGCTTGCAGCGGTCGCACTCGGGCCCGGCCGTGTTGTGCTTGCAGTCGCACACGAGGTTGTCGTCGCGGTCGCGCACGCAGCGGGAGGCGTGCCCGTTGCACTTGCAGCGCCCGCCCACCTGCAGGTCGGAGACGGCGTAGTAGTAGGAGTCTCGGGCCAGCTCGGAGTCGTCCTCGTTCTCGTCGCCGAAGGTGTGCAGGCGGCTGAAGACCACCTTGATGTCGGTGGCCGTGACCCAGTCCTGCAGCACGGGCGAGTTGTCGAAGTCGTGCGCCGAGGGCCGCCCGTCGAGGGTGCTGAAGGCGATGAGGCCTCCGGCCAGGGGCCTCATGTCGGTGTGCGAGTCGGTGCAGATGGCCTCCTGCTCGTTCTGCTTGGTGATGGCGGCGCGGCTGGGCCGGTTGTACATCTTGCGGCACTGCGTCGAGTAGAACTGGAAGGGCACCCACGTCTTGCCGAAGTCCATGGACTTGGCGATGGCCATGGACTCCGGGCGAGGCGAGCAGAACTGGAGGCTCACGTACGTCACCTCGAACTTCTTGCCCAGCGCCAGCGTCAGCGTCACGTTGAGCGGGTGCTGCACGTAGCTCTCCGACTGCCAGCACGTCAGGTTGTGAGGGTTGTTGAGGTCCGTGAGGTAAGCGGCCGGGCGCGCGCGCTTGGGGTCGGCCGCGTCGCACAAGTGGCAAGTGCGGCTGCGCTCGTCGCCCTTCTCGGCCAGGACGCAGTAGCGCGCCTGGGGGCGCCCGCACGTGCTCGACACCTTCACCTCCTTGCCGAAGGCGGCGTTGACGAAGTCCGGGATGCAGCGGCGCGGGTGCCCGTTCTCGTCGTAGCAAGGGTCCGGCTGAGGAGCCGTCTGCACGGCGAACATGCTCAGGCCGCCGCCTCCGCCGTAGCCGCCGCCGCCGCCGCCGCCGCGCACGCCCTCCGCCAGGCAAGCGGCCACGGCGGCCAGAGCCACCAGCGCCTCCCAGCCCGCCGGAGACATGCCGGGTCGCCGCGGGAGGGCGCGCGGAGGGGGAAGAAAGGGCGGGAAAGCGAACCTGCAGCGGGGAAAGTGGAGAGAGAGACAGAGAGAGCGCGTCAGCCTCACAGGTGCTGCCACTGAGGTTGAATTAAGACTGGCGCTTGCTTGGGCTGGCCAATGAACAAGTTTGGGCGGAAGAGCAGGAGCGCTCAGTGGGCGCCTTCCAAGCTGACCCAGCGCCTGCCGGAGGATTAAGTGACGGCCGGAGTGGGAAGCGGTGGGTTTGGCAGGGCGCGCGCGCGGGGAGGAACCTGCGAGGCAGAGCGCGCGAGCCGCCGACCCACTTTTGACGGACAAGCAGCACCGCCCGCCTCTTAACGCGGAGGGAGATTCCCGCTCAGGTTAAGAGGGACTGAGTCAGCCGAGTTTTAAGTTGAGGCCGTTTCTCTCGCTCTCCTATCAAGTCCCAACTTTCATCCTTGGAACCTGCGAAGTATTCATAAAGGAGCTCAAGAGAGCCTTTCCTTCAGCGTTTTTCCTGTGTTTTTCTAGGCGCTAGACCAGCGTTTACCGAAGGTGAGTTCTCCAGCCGTTTTTGGACTACAACTCCCATCATCCCTAGCTAACAGGCCCAGTGGTGATGGGAATTGTAGCCCGAAAAAAACAGCTGGCGCTACAGAAAAGTGGCACACTATCTAAAGTGAGTAAGGCCCGTCGAGCCGTGCGGCTTCTTAGTCAAGCGGGAGAGAAGGTGAAGAAGTCTCTGCTGCATGAGCCAAGTGTCATTGAGGCCACATCACCACATATAAAGCTGGATTATACCACTTTAAACAGCCATGGCTTCCCTGCAAGAGTCCTGGGAACTGTAGGTTGTTAAGGGTGTGGAAAGCTGTTAGGAGAACCCTGTTCTCGCAGGGGTACAATTTCCAGAGTTGCCGATTGATCGTTAAACCACTCTGTAAATTGTAGTTCTACGTGGTGAACTGGGGTCTCCCAAGATCTCTCAGCACCTTTAAACTACGGTTCGCAGGTAAATGGCATTGCTGCTGCTGCTACTTTAAATATATACTGTACCGCGAATGGGGCCTGAGAGTGAGGACTTGATTCAAGATAAAATGCTACAGATTTTATCTTGCCAGCAACATCCTCTGTCCTAAACGGTGGAGGAGGAGATGGAAAGGCGTTCCGCTGAAGCCATGAGGATGAGGATCCATCGACTCCGAGCAAGCAAACCTCCTTGCAATCCGGGAGATGGGCGCCCGCGCAACGGGCTTGAATGGTGCGCGGATTTCCACGGCAAACTGTCCAGTGGCTTGAGGGGTGTGTGGCGGTTTCGGCAAGCGAGAAAGCAGATGAGAGAGAACCCCAAGCTACCTTCAACTGAAGACCCACTGACTGGCAAGAAGTTCTGCGGAACCAGTAGGGCTCCGTTTTAAATGGACGACGGGGCGCCTTCAGACTGAGTTTTCCTAAGGCATGCCAGTACTTCGACCACCTCACAGACACCTGCTATTAGCCCTTCTGAATATGGGTCCCCACCCCACGCGCTTCTTCCACAGAGAGCGCCTTCCTTCACTCTTGGGAGGGCCTTGCCCCGAAAGATCCAGAGCCATTTAAAGCAAACATACGCACCTCATTTTGATGCAGGCAGAATATTTAACAGCCATTAAACTGTTCTGCAATTAGGGGAAATTGGGCGGGAGAATTTCAGCCGGCAGACCCAATTTATTTAGGTCTTCGAAACCCATGCACGTGGGCAGTCCCATAATGTCTAGAACTTTTTACTGCGTAAAGAAGACCCAGTGATTTCTGGTGCATCTGAACCAGTAGGTTATCTCTTAGGTAAATCTAGCGCAACAGTAATGAAGTTCAGGACACAGGAGCCTTGGTGGTGCCTTCTATGCGAGGAACTAACAGCAGAAAATCGCTTGTGGGGCTTCCTTCCATTGCAAGTGGCGTTCTGGGCAATCCTAAACAGATCTACTCAGAAGCAAGCCCCACTACGTTCAGTGGTGCTTATTCCCGGGAAAGTTTTAGAGGATATCCGCCTTGGAATCACAACCCTGCAGCCTGAACCTGTGCGTGGTTCAGCCCTTTCTGTGGGAATCGCCCAAGCGAGCGTGCCTAGGATTGCCTTCGCTTCTATGCGACACTAAACCAAGCGATGTGGCTTACCACCAGGCTTGTGGTTCTGCTTGTCAGAGGATGAACGAGGGAAAGTGGAAGGTGAGGAGAGAGAGGGCTCATCTCAGCTCCATCCACAACCCAGTTCGTCCAACCTACCAGGGTTTAAACGGAGCCATTCAGCGAATGCTACTGCTACTAGTGAGTAAGCCCCATTGAAGACACTGGATCTGACTTTTGAGTAAACATGCATAGGATCGTACTGCACATATCTCTTAACGAGAGAGAAACGAAAAGCGGCAGATGGGACTCCAAAACGGCTCGGGGCGGGGGGGGAGGCTTTTTTTCAGTTATTCCAACTGTATTAGCCAAGAGAGCAAACTGCTCTTTCCTTCGCTCCAGAAAATTCGCTGCCCTCGCCTGCTTAGGAGAAGGCGACTGAGCTTGGGGCTGCTTTGAAAATGCCGCCTAAGTTTCGCCTCAGCGTCACACACACACACACCCTAGCAAGAAGGAATCTGGGCATACTGGTGGCCGAGAGAGAGAGATCGACGTCCGGCCCACAAAAGTTGGAACAAGGCATGCGGGAGGTTCCCCAGCTCCGGGAAGCATCCTGCAGCCTCCGGCGGGGATGTCCCTGATCGGTTCGAGCGAGATAACTTCTCCGGAAGCGCCACCCAGGACTCCGTCTCTCGCACCGGGGGATCGTAAAAAGGCAGACCGACCAACAGTTCATCTGCCAAAAATGCTGCGCCGCACAGTGACTCTCTGGAGTTTCAAGCAAGAGTCTTTCCGGGCCCTACCTGGCGACGCGAAAGAAGGAACCTTTTGCGCGCAAAGACGTGGGCTATGCCCCGGCGTGGCGCTTCTTCCCGGAGAGCTGAGGCAGCCGCGACTCTCTTAAGGAGACCTCCACCCCCCTTCCTTCCCGCCTCGAAGCTCCCCTCCGCCGCCCTCCTAGGGTCCCTCCGAGCTACCTTGCTTGGTTTGGCAGCAGCAGCCGCAGCTGCTGGGGGGCGGGCAGTCGTTTCGCGGGTGGCGGACTTGGTTCCTCGGCGGCAGCTGCAGCCAGCGGGCTTCGGTGGCTCAGGGGTCGCGCTCGCTGCCCATCGTCCGGCCCCAGCGAGCGGCCAGGCTCCGTGGATGCCCGGAGCTAGTGACGCGCCCGGCTCGGGCCGGGGCTGAGGTCATCCCGGAGGAGTGACACCCCGTGGGCTCGCGCGGGGGAAGAAGCGACGACATCCACTGGGGGGCTGGCAGGGCGCGCGGCGGGAGGGAGAAGGGGCGGCGCCGGAGGGGGAGGAGCCGGGGGAGGGGGAGTTGGCCAGCCACGGCAGGATCGGGCCCTCCTAGGTGGCTCCTTCCCCGCGAGCTCAGAGGGTCGAGCCTGGGCAGTCAAGAGCCGTTGCGCAGGGGAAACCGGGTGAGCGAGCGCGGGCTGCCGAGCTTTGCGGCCGGGAAGGAGGGCGACGCGTGAAGCTCCTGTCCCGCGGCCAAACCCGAGCTTGGCTGCCCTAAGCGAGACCGAAGTGCCTCGCGCTCCGGCTTGCGTGGAGGAGCCCAGGAGAAGGAAATCCCGCGAAGGGAAAAGCCTGGGCTTTGTCCCGATGAACTGCTGTTGGGGCTCAGCTCCTGCTGGTGGAGCTTCTAAGGAAGGACCGGGTGCATCCCAAGCCGGTTAGCTGCCTGGGGCGGGGCGGGGGCAAATCTTCTCGCTTAGTAAATCAGACATCCCCGAATTCCCGTGTCCAAAAAGATACCACGCACAGGGGCCTCTTTAGCTACCTCCGGTCGCGCTGGGCTGCCAAACTTCCCACCAGCCTAAAATACTTAGTCGAAAATACTGCGCCAGACAAAACACGCAGCCATCCAGCTGGGCTCGAGAAAGCCTTCAGCCGCCCTCCTCTTCCCTCCTCCGAGTGAACTAAGCGTATCTGTTGCTCACCTCCCGGGGCAAACTCGTGCGAGTTGTTAAAATACCCAGCGCCTTCTTCCTTGCTGGAGGCAAAACTACAGTGTTTTGGCAGCGAGGATCGTCAGAGTTACTTTCTCTTCCCACCACCCGGTGTTTTTTTCCTTGCCTTCCTTTATTCCTCCGATGTTTAAAGCCGACTTGGAGCGACACACCCACACCCCTGGTTGTTCAAGGGTGTCGAATCCTGTCAACCTGTCTAAAGAACATCTATTACCAGCTCTTCCTGCTGTTCGTCTATTACTTGCATAATAAATCCAGCTGCCTTTTATTGTGCACCCAATTATGTGCTCATTACAATTCCTTGGGGAGGAATTCCGGTGTTATCTCTGTTCTTTGGGCAGACCTGTGTGGCGAAATCCCGTCGTTTCCTAACAAGTCCTAGCTTCCCACAAGCACCTCGCTCACTCTTATGGAGCGTTTGTCGGACTCGTTGGATACAGAGGGTGAAGTCTTGGCTCCATCGCCAATTTCTCGTACTGTATGAGTATATGTGATTGTAGAGAAGTACTTTTGTATATTGGGTTGTGTTTGGCGGTGGCTAGCCAGCCTAGTTTCGCCCAGACTGCGTGTTATGAAGTGTTAAAACTGAATACGCGCACTGCGCACACCACGATCCGTTTGTTTGGGATCCCATTCAAAGGCCGCAAGCGACTCGCCAAGAAAAAGGATGAAGAGGCATCACACGCACGCAAATTCCCAGAGCCCACGTAGAAAGTCCATTCGCTCTCCAGACTCTTCCGAGAAAGCTGGACACAACCACCTCACCTCCGCTCCCAGAGAGATTACTTCTCTGGCGCTGTTGGCCGGGAAATAAGTTTTATTGCAACATCTGAAAGTGACGGCTCCTAGCACCGATTCATCTGCTAGAAGCCGCCCTGCCTAGATCCCTCGCTACAGCCCAGGGCCTAGAAGTGACCCACTCCCAGTGCTGATCCCTTGCTTTCTCAGTTCTGTCACCCGCAGCACACCTGCCAAGGGCTGCAAGACAACCGGCACTCCCTGAAATTCCCTCTTCCACGCAACTTTTAAAGGCGCGAGAGCCCTGGCCTCTTTTCCACCTATGCAGCAGAAATGCGGAGGGATGGCAGCTCAGAAGCGGAACTGAGAGTCCCAGGGGAGGAAAGGTCCGCAGTGTCGTAGTAAGGTTCAAACCCGGCACGAGATTTAAAACGGAGTTTTCCAAGGGCTGGCAAGGGCTGCCTTGTTGGAGCCCAAACCTACATTGGGATCCTCGAGCTCCGGCCTAGAAGGAAAACCTGGTCCTTCATTTTAAGTGGTTGGGGGACAGTGGCGAGGAGAAGGCACTCTGTACATGCTCAGAGGTGCTTTTCTTTATAGGTTGTCACGTCTGTTTCATTCGAAGGGGGCGGGTGATATGGCCACAGGTGGGAGAGGATTCTAAATGGGCGTGGCGAAAGGATGAAGGTGGAGCCACGAGGCCCATAGCGTCTGCAAAAAATAAAAATAGAAATCCTCTTCTGACACAACGGCTGATCGCTCTCACAAGCGCACATACACTGATGCACTGAGATTTATATTTGTTTTGTTCGTGTACATACACAGAGCACGAAGCTGACTAGGCACTGTCTGAAGGCAGAAAAGCCTGTAGGCAGGAATGCACATGTACCAAGAAAAAAAGAGAATGCTTTCCTCTTGAGATGCAGCTACCTTAGTCTGCAGAAGTGGTGCACGCGCACCTGCCCTTTTACAGTCCTAGCCAGTCTATCGTCCTCCGGCCCTTGTCCTTTCTCTTCAAGCCAGCCTGTCGGTCAGCTAACCAACTGAAATTGCCTGGGAGCAGAGTTATCTTCCACATTTTTTTTAGTGAGGGTCTGTCCACCACCTCTGGAATATTGGATTAGGACACCCTGGTTCCTGTGCTCTAGCTACGCACCCGTATCCTGCACGGAGGATCCTGTAAAACGGGAGATGCGCCTACTCACTCCAGAAAGACACACACAAAAAATCATAAACACAGAGTAAGCTGAGATCCGCCAGCTGATGGAAGCTTTGCTTCCGGGTGAAAAGGGCTAAGGATAGCGATGGACGGGTGTTTTTAACTGGCAGAAAGCAAACTACAAGATCAGACTTCTGGAAGAAGAAAAAGCCAGAAAGGTAGCCTTGTTCGTCTGCTAATTAAAAACAAAAACCCACGCCTCCCCGGCTGCCACCACCAAACTTTAAATTAGAGGCATTGTGACACAAACGTTGGTGTACTGGAATCCACTGCTGCACCTGAGGCATGAAGGGTTATGCACAGTTGGCGGAGCAGGGCATGTTTTCTACAGGGGACCGGGGGAGCGGTATAAACAGTGAAGCCGAAGGTACAGTCAGTGTCTGCGACATATCTATGCAAAAGCTCAAATGTATACAAGATCAGCCGCTGACCGAGCGTTCAGTGCAAGCTGCAGTAACTGGCAATAATACAGTCTTGCAAGATTCGCCATGTATTACTTTGGTGCTTGTAACATATGTATAAGCGTGGGGGGGGGGCGTGTTGGGAGACCCTTAGATCTCCGCTGGGATTACACTCTCGAGTAAACTCCGGAGAGAAGTTAAAAGGTTCCCATCGATTTGAGGCGCTGGATGCTGTGGCTGACAAGCGGAACGCGCTCGGCAAACTATTTGTAGGAGCTGACTCAGTTAGTATGTGGGTTCTAGGAGGTGGCAAGGGCAGCTGGGGATTCCTGAATCGCAGGGCGGATTGCCTTGTAGTTAAACACCGCAGGAAAACGAGCTCCAGCCGGCTGCCAATGACTAGCGCGTCCCTTAGCACCCTGCTACATTACTCCAAATCACCCCAAGCAGCACATTTTCTTGTAGCTTCTTTAATTCTAAATAGGCCCGAGTTCCTACTTTCATACAAACTTCCTTCTGCCACAGCGATCTATGAATTAATTCGTTGATTACAGATGAAGAATATGGGGCCAAGCGCCTCTCTTTTCAGTCTGGCCTTTGGCCGGTTCCTATCCAGGGTGACTTCTGCAATAATAGCTGCTGTTTGTAATTAAACTGTGAGTTGAATGATGTTTTTGTTTGTTATTAATTCATTAATATATAAATTAACTTGCAGCAACGAATCTCAAAACGCATTACAAACAATTTCAAAAGTATCACACATACACACACACATAATGAGATCCAGCCAAAATTAAGTGCTTTGAAATCCATTTACTTTTAAGCGGGCGACATGAAGCGGGAACCTATAAACATGTTCAGCAGGAAGCAGGACCTGCTGAGCGCACTAGGGTCTAGGCTACATACTAGGACAGGTCTGTGATTCCCTTCCAGGAGCTTTTAGGACTTTAGCCTTACACAGGCAGCTAACTTCCTCACATTGAAGTCGATGGGGCTAAAAGGTAATTAACGTCGATTGGATCGAGCTCCGAGTTTTTGCACAACGCGAGCCTAGTTTTTTGTTTTTTAACGTGCTGATGATAGTCTTGCGAGCAATGGAAGTGCGTTTCTTGATTTAGAGAAAGCCGCTATTTCCACAACAACAAACAAATTGTAATATTTAGTGGAAAGCCACTGTTAACATTTCTCTACTCAGGCACTGTAGAATTAATTTCGTTTCCCATGAGATGTACGGATAAAGGGCGGTATACAAATTCAGTTGGTGATGATGATGATGATAACGGGCCCCTCTAGATACTCGTTTCTTCCCCATCCCGCCTATGAGGCTGCTATGAAAAACACAAAAGATTTTCACTCTCAGATTTTCAGGACTGATTCTTAGTTTTAAAGGTAAACTATACGTTTATTCTAATGATATTCCGATCGTTAAGGTGTGCATCGCTGCGCTGGTGGAGCCAGTGTCCCGTTTGGATTAATAAAATATAACGACCTCTAGAATCTGAGCTGCTATCTGGATGTTTTCAGAACTGTGAAGCGTGCCGTTAAGAGCTGCTTTTGCAGTTCGATTTAAATCTATAGGAGTTCTGTCAAAGCCTGCTCATTTAGCATTGAGGTGCAAATATGCTGGCTATCAGGAATATCCACATTTTACAAAAAAACAAAAACAAAAAAGCCAGGGAACAATAATAGAGAAACTAAACGACTTTTGATCGAGACTCCGTTTTTCAACGATGCATGCAAACTACTAAAAGAGATTGCACTCGCATCTACTCCTTCCACGGGTCTTTGCAAATTCCCCATCCCCTCTCGGTCTTGAAAGGAAAATATCCAACAACTAGAACCTATGCAAAGGAGAGGGGGGCATTTCTTCAAATATTATTCCTGCACATACAGTATATTGGCCTTATAGAAAGGGTATCATCCATAATATTAAAAGAAGAGGCTCTCCACCTCACCCCACACCCTGTGAGTGGCTGGGAGGGGCGCGCGGAATTTTTCTGCTTTAGCCACAATTTATATTGTGCTGAGCGCTGTTCAGCAATCAGAAAATTGGGTGAAGGAAGGCACATATGTACGTAGCAGTACTTTTTTTTTTTACTTTTGTCCCCTCTTTGAACCTGCACTCGGGTGGGCAACACCTTTCCTCTCCTCTCTTTGCAGGGTCTTTTGCCTGCTTTCGCTATAGCGAAGACTTCCAATCAGAGACTTTCCTCCCTTATTCTTCTCTCTCGCTCCAAGCAGGCATTGCTGTCCCTTGTCTAAGTAAGGAAGTTGGTGCAATTTGTTAGAGAGCTTAAGACGCTGATCGCGTCCAACCCTGCGCGATGCTGAATAGTTTCTGACGCAAGGCGCACAGGATCGGGTTGCGCATCGCAGCCTAAGAAACAGAATAAGGAAATCTGGCGCAGCTCTTATTGCACATCCAGAAGGCCTTCTCCGGTGTGATTTCTAATTTATTCCCCATTCTCCTCCTCCCACTTTGCCTCCAGAGTTCAGGTAACAGCTTGGAGATCCCAATAATCCTCTTCCTTGTTGGGAAAAATAACTCACCCCCTAAGCATCTCCCCCGTCACACCTCTTTGACCCCGTTCCCCCCTGCAACCCCTAATCACTTAGTAAGGGTCAAACTCCAATAATATAGATTTTAGATTATTTAATTTTCCAAAAAGATGGGACCCCCACTGGAATTTAAATATTGTTATAAATAATAACAAAGTTGGTCCCCTCTAAGCAGGCATGGCGTTCCTTTCTAAGGCTATAGTCCCCATCCCCATGCACTTACCTAGAAATAAGTCCTACTCATTGAATTCTATGGGGTTTATTTCAGAGTAGACATGGTTAGGATTGCAGCTTAAGGCTTCTCAGACACCATGAAGGGCTCTGGGTTCGGGTCAGGCACTTTGCAATTGCAAGGGTAACTTGCAAGTGGAGCCCCAGATCAGTTGGGGTCTACACCTATAGCAAAACAAGTGGACGCTTATATATGCCAATTTGGGAACTATTGTGGGGGGTCACCTGGAATCAGATGCTAAATGACTGTATGAGAGGTATACATTTCAATTTAGTTCAACATGTAGGCGGTTATAAGCTGCTTTTAAAGAAAAGATACGTCGCAAAGCAGTGTACAATAGCAAACTGCCCTCCACATCAATACAAGTGTTATTTACAAACATCAAAATGCAGCTACGCTTCACGGTAGTCAAAAAACCAGCATAAAAACGACCAGCCAGCCTAGCATCAACTTGACACACTATCCACAATTTATTAAAACATCATATCTGCCGCCCAACTTGCATAAGCCACTGAAAGCTACAGAGGGTGGCAATGGGGGAGCAGTGTGAGTCTTCCATGTAAAAATAGCAGTTCCACAAAACCTCTAGCAAGCAACTAATTTGATGGAAAGGTCACTTTGAGGAAGGAAGTGGTGATGATGGCATTTGAGCAAGTACCCCCGCTATAGCTGAGCCATCAGCACCTTCTAGATAACAGTCCTCTCTCTTTTGCAATTGTGCAAACAGTTCATATTATTCAGATTTGTCCCCGGGGACCCTAACCCTTCAAAGCCCTCCCATATCCCCAAACCACTTCCTTACATCCACCCCCTGCCCACAATCCCTATCAATCCTTTCTCACCCCTCCCACTTCTCTTCTCACAAAACCCAGACATTTCAAGAAATCTCATACCCAGGCCTTTCTAAAGAGATGCCCTCTGATATTTGTATTGCACTCCAGCCAGATCCCTCCGTCTCTGGGGTTTTTATTCTGCAGCATACTTTAGCCCAGTTTAGCCTCGTCTCTGGGGCCAACAGAGCCATTGCTTTGTTGCCAGGGCTGAATTAAGACACACTGAGGCCCTAAGCTGTGTCTTGTTGAAGAGGCCCCCAGAGCATTACCCAAAAGATGTGTATTAGTCTAACAGAAAGGGCAATAAAAATAGAAGTAATGACATTTTACATTTGCATAAATACTAGTGCATGGTTGAGGATGCATCCAAAAACTAGCAAGCTAGCTAAAGCATGTAGCTTGCCACAAGCCTGTTTGCATATGAAATAACTTCAAATGAATATACCTTATGATTTCTTACTTATCAAATATGGAAACCATATTATAGTTAAATCTGCACAAGTTTAAATGCAATCAATCAATCTTTATTACGGTCCAGAGACCCAACAAATCATTACAAATCAATACACAATTCATACAGCCTACCTCCAGGTTAAACAAGCATTTTGTTTAGAATATAGGGCTCATTTGTTCTTGCAACCACCGATAAAAAATTTGCCACTGCTAACATTCTAGCATTTGTCCGGTCTTCCAGTAGGAACCTGACATAGTGAGCCTCTGATTTTCCTGGGAAAGGTACCAGCAAGGGTAGTATCAGTTCAGCCCTGGCCTGCTCATATTTTGCACAATGCAACAAAATATGTTTTATGGAATCAATGTCTTGAGCACACGAGCAAAGTCTGTCCTGGTAGGGAACTCCTCTCAACCTGCCATCCAACACTGCAGAGGGAAAGACATTTAGTCTGGTTTTGGTAAAAAGCCTTCAGTAGTTTGGTACTGTAAGGTTTTTAATGTAAGATGTTAACTTAAAGACATACCCATATTGAACTCCTACTGCTAGCGGACTACAGACTGCGTGTGGCCGAGAATGCAAGTCACTGTGTGCATTATCCCATAATCTTTGCTTTAAAATCTTTTGGGCGCCTTCATAACCCAGGTAATACAGTTGGGGGGGGGGACAGACCAATAGAAGTGGCTTTTTTAGCCATGATTTTCTGCCATTTGCTGACAAATTCCTCATTGGTCAGGTGTTGGTACAAACCCTTCCCTAGATTAAACACTGAAATCCTGAACCAATGTTTTAGGGCAGCCCACCACGCTTTAGGTGAAATTGGGCATTCACCAGCAATATATCAACTAATGGTGTAGCCATGAAATATATATTTGTGATGCAATATTGATGTCTGTTTTTCCTGTTTCTATTATTATTATTATTATTAAAAACTTGACAATTAGTGTTGTTGTTTGTATTTAGAGGCTCCTCATAATTTGTGGCCTTAACTGTAGTCAACTTTTCCTATGCACAAATCCAGCTCTGTGTACTGCAGACCCTTGCTGCAGCCCAGGTCAGCCCCACTACTCCCCAAAGTGGTATCAGCTTCCACTGGTTGCCTAGGTACCTCCAAACAGCCAGTGTTCAGAAGTTGACTAGCTTGCCACAACTCTTCGCTTAATGACCATGCAACATTCCGCTACCAAATTATACCAAAATACATCTATTAAGGTTAAGGGGAGGGGACAACAACTGGATAGTATATTGGAATGGAAAACAGTTTAACTGCAAAATTAAATTTAACACAATATATATTTGACCTAAGGGATGCATGTGGCGCTGTGGGTTAAACCACAGAACCTAGGACTTGCCGATCAGAAGGTTGGTGGTTCGAATCCCCGCAACGGGGTGAGCTCCCGTTGCTCAGTCCCCGCTCCTGCCAACCTAGCAGTTTGAAAGCATGTCAAAGTGCAAGTAGATAAATAGGTACCGCTCCAGCGGGAAGGTAAACGGCGTTTCTGTGTGTTGCTCTGGTTCGCCAGAAGCGGCTTAGTCATGCTGGCCACATGTACGCCAGCTCCCTCGGCCAATAAAGCGAGATGAGCGCTGCAACCCCAGAGTCAGCCACGACTGGACCTAATGGTCAGGGGTCCCTTTACCCTTCTTTATATTTGACCTACATTTGTCTTCTAGTACCAGTTAGTGCACAGTGAGCAGGATTCTCTATTAAGCACCTTCACAGGTAAGTGACAGTGGGTTTCTCTGCAACCTCTGCCTCCATCTTAAAATATCCAGGGTTGGTAATCTCTGAAAAACCATCAACCCCTTTGCAATCAGGTGGTGTGGCAGCTACTCCTCTATTGCACCAAATACTGTATGAAATGCAGCCAGTTTTGCTATTTCCTTCTTATTCTGACCTGTGCCTGGCTCAGAAGTATTTCAGAGTGAAAGGACTTAGTGAGAGTATGGCAATGCACTGGGAGGCATATAGCTCAAATCTCACCTCTGTTATGAATTCACTAGGGAAACCCTCTCTCAGCCTTTGTCCTTCCTTTACAGTGTGGGGAAAATGTTAAGACTGTACGGACCCACCTTACAAGTTTTCATTTTGCTGGTTTTGCTTTCATTACCTATGTTCTCCAAGCAAGAATTTATTTTGATAGGAAAGTGTTTACCTTCAGAAGTGTCTGCATTGGCAGCTTGCTCTTAAACAAGAGTGGTTTACTAATGGTTTTGTTACACTCTCTGCATTGCCAGCCTGAAGGAGGAATAACCTAAACCTGCAGTTTGGAATGATGTGATTTACTGCTGAAGTTACTTGCTAAAACCCTGTTTGAGAGTGCAGATGTCAATATACCTGTGTGTAAACTAGCTTTATTGTATAAACATGATTTTAATCTGTTTCTCTGCCCACTTTTATACAATAAGCTAGTTTACACACACCCACCCACCCACACACACCCATCCACACACCTCAATCTTCCATTCAGAGAAACAAGAAGAATTATCATAGTACAGATGGCCACACTTGTCCCCCAGGCCTGAGATTCCCTACCCTTGTTCTCAGCGCATAAGGGGCTGATAGGAGGAAAGCCCAGTTTAATGTTGCCATTGGTAAACTAGGCTGGACTGGATTATGTTGAAGTGATAGATATATAAATGAGGAGTCAGCAGAACATTGTAGTGCATCACCTGGACCTCTTGCACCGGATTTTTAAAAAACGAGTGGGGTTCGTTTCTTAATATATGTCCTTAGATCAGTTGTCAGCTCCTCTTTGCATGAGTCAGGCAATGGGAATCAGGCACCAGGAACTGGATAGAGCCCTTTTCTTGCTTTCCTGTCTGCCTGTCTACTTGCAGAGGGGTTGGGTTTTATTTTATCCACACCCTCCCCCTCCACAACTGAAAAGGTCTGATTTTCACATCATCTGGATGCCCCTTTGCTTCTTGGCTGCAGCAATGGAATGAACCAAGCTGACCTCCAGGGAGGTTTGTTTAGGGATGAAACAATGTTTGTCTTGTCCAAACACCATGAATTTCCCCGTGCTTCCTCAACAGCGGTGCAGCCAACAGATACAATATAACAAATGCTTTGCCATATTTTACCCTTTCAAAGGGAGAGAGAAAAATAACCCTCTAAAAATTCTAGCAATGGCAGAGTTCACAGGGGTGAACGGCAGGGGGTGAGGGGGGACAAGGAGCAACTATAAAGGCTTGGTCCATCAGCCAGAGGCTGGATGCTTTAAAATGTGGAGCAGATGCTGCAACACTAGATACATTTTAATACAGAAGTTAGCTTTGGTGTGATGAACAGTAAATTCAATGGAGTTTACTCCCACGTAAGTGGGTCTAGGATTGCAGCCTAGCACCCTGATCCTAAATGCCTTGCATGGAAATGGACTCCACCAAAAGTTGTACAGGCTACTTTTAATAAATGACCATGATTTAGAAAAGAAAAGTCAATCACATGAGTACAAAAGACAGGAACAGGACTGAAATTCAAAATGTCCCGGATAGCCAGCAATATGACAAAACTGAATAAATACCAATGTGTCACACTCACATTGAAAAAAAGATCCAAATTTTGTAGGAATGCAAAATTGACCAGTTGTATCCTCACTTAATGCTGCTAACTTTTTGACCTAATTTCCCCTAATTTTTGAAAGGGCAGAACTGTGCAAAGCAGCAACAACAATTTTATATATTGTGCCCGATGGTGGCAACTTTCTCACAGAGCAGCTGCTCTAGGTAATGAGCCTTGTTTATTTGCTGCAACATTCCAAGAGTCAAAGCCCTCTGCAATCAAATGCACAAGTGAAAGAAAGAATGGGGGAAGTTCTTTCTTTATACATCTGACTTTTGGGCAGGTGGGTTCCCTGGGATGGCATGCAATTCTCCCTGGTTTTCTGAACTAAGTGCCATAGAGGAGGGAATGGGTCCCGGGCCTTGTCAGCCAGTGTGATTTAGCAGTGGGCAAAACATTGGGGTAAGATAGAGACAGGCGGATACAAATCCCTGCTTCTTGGGTGATGGCCTATATTGGCCTATAGTGTTGCTATATTACAGGGTGCCCTAGATTATCTCTATTATTCATGCATTTATTTCCTTCACCTTTGAAAACTCATAGCAACTTATCTGTGCCTCCCAGGAGTCTTCTCTCCAGGCCACATCCACACCTGCTTAGCTTCAATAACACTGTAGCATCGGTTGCTCCTAGACCAGGCATGGCCAAACTTGGCCCTCCAGCTGTTTTGGGACTACAACTCCCATCATCCCTAGCTAACAGGACCAGTGGTCAGGGATGATGGGAATTGTAATCCCAAAACAGCTGGAGGGCCAAGTTTGGCCATGCCTGTCACCTAGACCATTCTTTGTGTCTCATCATATAACAAAGTAGCTGGAAATAACCACAAGAGTGATCAGGATCAACCTTCCCAAACCTGGTGCTCACCAGATATTTTGGACTTCAACTCCCATCACCCCCAACCAGCATACCCAACAACCATTTCTATTTTATCTAACAACAGAAGACTTGAGCCCCTAATTGCATCAGGGGCTTCGGTCTTTCAAATTTCAGCGGCTCCCTGTGTGAGGCCAAAAATCAGTGTCTCCCTTCCTCTGCACATGCACAATGTCATCGTTGTGGTGCCCTGCGGTGCCCCCCTTGGCTCAGTGTCCAGTGGGGTGTGTGTGACTGTTCGTGCTTCCCTAAACCCACCTCCAATTGCATTAAAGCATAGCATGGCCCAAACTAGCTGGTCATGGCTTTTTAAGTTCCTAAATACATTTATTTGGGAGTAAGCACCATGGAACACAGCAGAACTTACTTCTGAGTAAACATGCCAAGGATTACATGGCACAAAAGTGGGAGAGTCTCCTTGACCTGCAGTTTTTAATCCTAAAAAATAATAATAAAACCAATGGGCATTTCTACTCACCTGCCAGCAAATATATAATAGTAGAGGTACCAGAGCAGTGAGGTCTCCTATTTCCAGGGCTTTTTTTCAACAGAATGATCTGTACTAACATTCCAAAGACAAGGGGATTATAAGTAAACCATAATGACATAGAAAGTGGGGGAAATGATCAAGTTAGCTTTTTATTATGCTCCTCTACATAATTGATAATTGATAATATTAATGAGTGGGCATTTCTATGCTGTAATCCACCTAGTTTCAGGACACATTTTTGGCAACTAACTTCTTTTGTCATAAGGAGACAGAGACACCTTATGCAAGGCTCTCATATTTGTAAGTGGATTTTTCTTTGTTTTTAACAAAGACTCAGGAAGTGCTGCACATTATTTTTTATTGCTGGTCTCATCTTACCCTATACTGTTAGCCTTTTAACAGGGCTAATGAGTGCCCCCCCCACCCCCGATTTGTGCTTTAATCATTGGTTTTGTTTGTTTGTTTTGGCAGTCCATCTGGAGATGTCCCCTAGGTTGAATTAGGATTTTCTTTTCTTTTCTTTTCTTTTCTTTTCTTTTCTTTTCTTTTCTTTTCTTTTCTTTTCTTTTCTTTTCTCTTCTTTTCTCTTCTCTTCTCTTCTCTTCTCTTCTCGTCTCTTCTTGTCTCTTCTTTTCTTTTCTCGGATTTCAAATTCATGGGGTATAGAGCTTCCAAATTCACGGGGAACTCTTAGAGCATTGATGAATGATAGTGGGAATGGAACTTCCAGGCACAGCGACCTCTGAACTGGAGAGCTATAGACAAACACTATGTGAGGACCTACCTTCATGTGGACTTCCAGAAGCGACCACTTTAGGAAAAAAATACCAGGGATTCCCAAACTGTGGTCTGCAGACCACCAGTGGTCCACAAGCTTCATTCAGGTGGACTTTGTGGCATGCCTCTAAACAACACTTACGACATTTACAATTCGATTTCGATGCCTCTGAACAACACTTACACTTCGATTTCCTTAGAGTCCAGATTGCCAGTCAATGAAATACTACATTTGTGTATGCACTTAATTCTCTATAGTAATCTTCAACAATGAATCCCGGATATCTCCTAGGCCTATTCTGCATATGCACAGATACCTGGGAGTAAGCTCCACAGAATACTGTAAGGGATACTTCTCAGTAAACATGCATAGGATCACGATGCACAATGCTTAGTCAACCTGCCGGACCTTAAGGCCAATTGCTGCTGGGTTTGCTAAAATCCTTATGCTGCAGAATCAAGGAAGCCCAAACTAACTTTCATTTCGAGAAAACAGTTCAAGGGCAGCATTAAGATGATTTCCACAAGGCAACCCTATTATATTCCTTAAAAAAAAAAAAATCTAGTCAATTCCAAGGCAAGGGAGCTACCACCACATTCTCAACAAAGTATTACACCAGAGGTGGGGAAGTTGTGCTTCTCCAGGTGTGGCCGGACTCCCAACCCCCATCAACCTTCAGCCAGCATGACCAATGCTCAGGGGTGATGGGTGTTGCAGTCCAGCAACATGGGGGGAGGGTGTTCTCCTGTGGGCCAGTGTGGTGTAGTGGTTAAGAGCGGTAGTCTCGTAATCTGGTGAACCGGGTTCGCCTCTCCGCTCCTCCACATGCAGCTGTTGGGTGACCTTGGGCTAGTCACACTTCTCTGAAGTCTCTCAGCCCCACTCACCTCACAGAGTGTTTGTTGTGGGGGAGGAAGGGAAAGGAGAATGTTAGCCGCTTTGAGACTCCTTCGGGTAGTGATAAAGCCGGATATCAAATCCAAGCTCTTCTTCTTCCCTGAGCTAGACGGAGTCGCAACCAGGTGTGTGTTTTGCATTGGATGATGACCATCAGGTCAAGCCGAGTCTTGGATACATAGAACAGTTACCCAAGACCAAGCGCCATCACTGACGGCGAAGCACAGTGACAACACGCCTCTGTTGTCGCCAGGCCACTGTCTCCTAAGATCAGTGACGTATGAGGCGCCAGGTGGGATACCTGCTTGTGCGAAGGCACCTTTATCTGCATGGATGTACCCCACTGCCAATATTTCAGAATTTCCCGACCCGTCTCTCAGCCGCCCCCCCCGCCACCGTTCTTTCCTCCGCAATCCTTTCCCAATAATGTCTCTTCACATATTACAGGCACCTCTCCTTTCCTCTCTTTACGGACGGCGGGTCCCCGCGAAGCGCAGCTCGGTGGCTCACAAGCTCGACCTCCGTTTTGCTCTGTCCCAGAGGCTTCAGGGCAAAGTTGGCGGGCGGGATTTCTCGGTTTGGAGAGTTCCCTTGGCGGGGAACGACGCAACGGCGAAGGAATAAGGGCGCAGCGGGGAGGAGGAGGAGGAAATGATCGTATTGTTCTCTTTGGAGCGTTTTAGTATTTTAGAAGGAAGGGCTTTTTGCATGGTAGGACTTCTTGAGGGAAAAGCGGGAAGCAAACTTTCTGGCGCTTGATCCCGCGTTAATCAGATTTCCCACGCCCCCCTCCCCCCAAATAATAAAAAAAAGCATTTCACCCGCGTTCCCCAAGCTTTCCTCTCTCCTCTGGGTATTTTATCCCTCCTCCCTCGTGCCCATTTTCCCCTCGTCCAGACCCGGGTTCCCCGAGTTTTCATCAAGGGCGACTGAAACCAGCGCCTCGTCGGCTGCTGCCACAGGGCCCAGGGGTGACGGGGTCAGCCTTGCCGTCCGACGCGCGCTCTCTGCTTAGGCCCCTTTGCTTCGGGTTAGAGACCCTCCATTCCGCGCAGCGATTGGACAGGGGTGTGGGAGCTGCCAACCCATCACTCTCTTCCCTGGGGGGGGGGCGGTGTTCTCGCAATCGGGGTAATTTCTTGCGCCGCAGCCTCGCCATTAAAGAGGGGGAAGCGCGGAGCACGCAGCCCAAACGAAGCCCCTTTGACCTATCCTTTCCAGGGGGTGGAAGGATGAGCTTAATTTTGCCCGGGGATGGGGTACTTTCCCCGCAATATGGGGAAGAGGAGGCCCTGTCCTTAACTCCCCGCACCCCCCCCCCCGAGCGGCTTCACCTTTCAGAGTAAAGTGAAACTTGGCTCACTGTTGGATCTCGGAGACTTGATAAAACAATGGAACGAAATCGGAATACTTAACCCCTATAAATATGTTGTTGTATTTGGGCGGGGGGGGGGGGGAGAGACCACGAAGGAAACTATGCTAAACACAATATGCAGTACATTGCCTTATATTGATTGCAACGGAATCACAGCCTTCAAGTGGTGCGCGCGTCTAAACTGAACTGTTTTGAAAGACAGCGCGTTTTGAATTGAATTCCGGATTTCGGACGTGATCTCTCTCCCCCCTCCTGCTTTGCACATGTCCTTCTTTTCATCTCTGAAACAACACGCTTATTTTCAACTCCCTCTGCCGAGGATTGTTGTTTTGGCCCTCTCTTTCTGGTCTAGAGAAAAAAGGAGTTAGGGAGAGAAGGCATTTTCCCCTTTCTGTAAAAGAAAAAACCGCACTGCAGCCTAAATATATATTCTAAAAACTATTAGTGCAAAGTTATTTTTAAATGGGGTGGTGGCTTTTTTGGGGTGGGGTTAGAAAAAGAAATAATTATTGGCTAAGGAACGGGGGGAGGGGGGGAGTTCGTGGCGCAAAGGCGAGGCAGGAGCCCGGGTTCGAAATAATCAGGAGCGATTTATTCCGACGGAGTGACAGCTCTTTTGAACGCGAAGCGAAAGGCGTTTTCTGTCTCTCTGAAAGCTTTTCTTCCAGATTGTGTTCAGATTAGGCTGGGGGGATGAATGGCGGCTTTATCCAGACCAGGGGCTTTTCTGAAATGCCAAATTAATTACCAAGGCCTGAATCAACGCACTGGGGACAGGGAGGAGGAGGAGGAGGAAGAAGAAGAACTGGCGGAGGGTGGGGGTGAAAAGAAGAAAAGAGAAATCTAGGGCACTTTGGCCCGGGTTAAAATTGTCTCTTGGGGTCGTTTCAGTGCGAATCGGCTGGGGAAGAGAGCGGGGGTAGGGGAAGGAAGAACACCTGTCCCATCCTTTTGGGTTGGTGTGGTTTTTTTTAAGCTTAACTTATTTGAGCTAAGTATTTTTAAGGACCAGCGAAGCAGCTTCCACATTTCGGCTGAAGAAGCCAATGCGAGGCGTGCGCCGAAGGATAGAAAAGAGATCCGCCTTAGGGAAACAGGAACCTCGCAATTGGGACCAACCAGGTCTTAATGAGGGAAGCGAGGCGGGGTAGTGGGAACAGCTGGCGCTTCCTCAACCCGGACACGGTCACTTGCCCGGACGGAGCCCCGCATGGTGGGCCTCCAGATCATCCTGCTTCCTGGGGTGGATCTCCTTTTGCCGTCTCTTCTCCCCCAAAGAACCGCCCTGCCCCCGATCAGCAGCCCCCGGGGTTAAGGTAAGCTGGTTAGCGGGATTCCCACGCCGCCCGCGCGCCTTTTGGCTGCCGACGATTCACCGCCATGGACTTACCTTTACAGCACCCCTCCAGCCCTCAATCTGAGAGAGGAGAGGGGAGGGGAGGGGAGATGGCGCGCCTTCGTTCCCAGTCAGCCCACCACGATCCAGCCGAATACCCTCGTAGACGCTGGGGAAGGGGGTATCCCTCTCCGGATCGCGCCCCCACCCCCACCGGGGTCTCCACCCGAATAGCCCCGACCTCCTTCGTGTCTGGCGTCCTATCGCGTTTGCGATGATCTAGGGCCTCCCTCCTCTGGGGGTTTCTCGGGGGGCGCTTAGGGGGTTCGCCGATCTGGACGCGCCCCCAAAAGGGGGATTCGGGTCAGGAGGGGGTCCACTTCTTCTTCTTTTGCGTTCCTAGAACCGCTGCAGAGGTCCCTCCAAATGTCCCCACTCCCGATGTTGAGCAGAGAGGGGAGGGGCGAACACTCTGGGGCTTATCCGCGCTGTGGACCCACGGGACGCGAAGGGAATCGAGGGAGTTGGGAAGAGAGCCGGCCTTCAGACCTCCCCACGATTTCCTCTTGCAGAAATTGCGGGTGGGGGGGGGAGAGAGAGAGACAGAGAGAGGGGGCTCGGAAAGCTGGATCAATAGACGAATCACTAGAATAGACGAATCACTAGAACCTGGGGAATCCTGAGTTCGAATCCGCGCCTGTCCTCGTGGCTCGCTGGGTGGTCTGGCAACAAGCCACTCTCAGCCGGGGCCTCTACGTCGGGGTCATTTTCTCACCTCTTTCAAATCGTGGGGGGAGTCTGGGAATGATCCTTGAGAATTGCGGGGGAGGGGAGGCGCAGGTAGTCGGGGCTGCGGCGAGATCAAGCAAGCCTTTGCGGTCTCGTCCTGATTCTCTCCTTCATCCCCCACCCCCTAAAAACCCGGTGGCCTAGAAAGCCTGGAAAACAATCGCAAGGGCCAGAGGGAAGCCCGACGTTGCTTTTCCTGAAAGAAAGCCACCTGGGGCTAGAACAGCAGGGGATTGGCAGGATGCAATCCAAAAAAGCATCCGAGATCTAAAGATGCTCCCGAAGATCAGGGCGTGAGGCCGTATTGCCAAGGATCGATAACAACGCGCCTACGTTTTCAGGTGCTTTGCATCAGAAAAAGCAGAGCAGTGGCACCGTTTCGACTCCCAGATTACGTTCGTTCTAAGCGTGACCCTAAACTGGTTCATCAACCTCGTCAGCGGGAAGGATCCTCATCACATTATCAGGCGCATCATCAGTTAATGGTAGGTCTATAAAACCACCTCGTGAACAGGTAAGAAGACTAAGCTCGACGGTCCCATCAGCACGGCAGGAAGAGGACAGCGACTAATAAAGACACTCTTCGAGAGGCGATTTTTCATTTTTCTTTTTGGCTCGGTCCAGGTGGAAATGAAATCCAGGAGTGAATGTGTTGGTCCAGGAAGTGTATGTCAGCTCGGCCACGCAGCCACTGCAATACTTCGAGTGATTCCTCGGCCTCAGTTTTTCATCTCTAAAATGGGGATGACAATGACTGGCCCCACGCACCCTTGTCCTGAAGATAAAAGAGGGAAGGAGATACTGTGCTTGAGCTTTGGGATGTAGACGTCAACATCAGAGACGTGCAGCCCAAGATCTGGCTCTAATGATGTTAAACCAATGTCTATTGAATGGGTTTTTGATATTATGGAGGTGAGATGCCCTCCAGATGTCTTTGGACTGAAAAAAGGGATGGAATGCTTTAATAAACAAAATAATGCAACATGCTTGAAGTTTTGCCCTTCTTGCCCCTCCAGAAACTGGACATGTGTGTTCTCTTTTCTGAGCTCATTTTCTCCCCCACTTTCCTCCCTGCTCACTTGCCCCCCATGACACCAGGGTTACCTTCATCACATCTGCTGCCACTGACTACACCTCATTTTGTCTGACTCAGCTTCCCATCTTCCTCAAGACACACATACTCTCTCTCTCTATAAACTTTGTTCTTTCTGTTTCCTACCACTCCCCTCCCCTCTTCCTACTGTGGCTGTTTCTCTTTCCACCCTCTTCCTCTTTCACCACTCCTTCCCTTGCCTTACTGCTTCTTCAGCTCTCTGCTGCTTCCTGCCCTGATGCCACTCCCTCTGCTGACATCAAGGCAGCTCATCCAATAGCAGCCAGGGCAGGAGGTTTCGCACCACTGGTGGAACATATACAAATATTTGATTAGCGTGGTGGCTTTTCATAGGGGGGAACCAGGATTTTAATCTTTATAACTTTGGTATGGAAATGAAAATTCATTTTGAAACATCCTGAGATATCACAGAACACAAAAGGTTGGTGTAAATTATATAACTCGGCTTAATTGGCTATGATAAATGTTCCAATATAAAGGATCCAAATGGTGCATAGCTTGTGATATCAAGAAGTTTTGGAGGTCCCCTCATATTTGAAATATTGCACCAGAGTTTCCTAAAATGAAAATGGCAGAGCTGGAGCAAACTCCACGTTTGCTTCATCCCACAGCCACCAATCACACTCTCCCTTCTTCCAGCTCCTGCATTGTCAGAGCACAGTCTTGACCCAGGGATTTGTTTTCAGTGTCAGAACTGAACTCACAGTTCTTTCATACAGAAATCCATTCCAGGTTTTCCCCTTCCCAAGCTTTCCTTATTTTAGCAGTCTAATTATTTTTCTTATCTTTGGCTTATTTATTATTTCTTTATTTGGGTTTTCAAAACAACAACAACATACATATAAATGACCACATGCATTTCCACAGGATATTTATTACTTTTCATAATATAATTCTTTTTTTTAATCTTCCAGATGGATTTGTCAGAGATGGGTATTGAACAGCGTCGGGTTCTGAAGGAACGGTCCTAGTGTTCTCAGACAGTCCAAATCCTTCTATATGCTTCCCGAATCATCCTGTTATTGCTTGATGTGTTGGTGTATACAATAAAGTTGTACCAGTCCACAGTGAATGTATCTATGTATCCATGTATTAGTAATGCTAACTGTTAAGTTTCTCCAATGGTTTGCCTCTTATTTTGCTCAATTCCTGAAATACATAGTTCCAAATTCTTATTATCTTAGTGCATGTCCGTCACATATGTTGGTATGACATCTCTTCTTTGCATCTCTCCAGCATAATGCTGGGTATGTTTTTTTAAATATATGATAATTTTAGGAGGTGAGGTTTCAAATATCGCCTGTGCATAATTTTTAACATAAGCAGTTTATTTATTTATTTTTAGGTAGTGAGAGGAGGAGCATTTTTGTTGCTGCTGTGTTAAACCTTCGGGAATCAGACGCCTTTGGCAAATCTATTGCAAATCAATAGAATTTATTTATATGTTTAAGATGCCAGCCTCAGTGTGTTGCTTGATCTTGAATGGCTGGTTTTGACCATGATGATTTGATGATGGGGATGGGTGGGATTATCTGAGTCAGTTTCTTCATTTAAAAAACAACAGCTGCATGGAAAGAACAATTGTGGAAAGTGCAACTTTGCATTTGCTGAAATTCCCCTTTCTATGCCATTATTAAAAGCATTGGAACTTGGTCCACCATGAATTCATCAAGTCAAGATACACTAATGTCAAGATTTTTTTGTTTATGTATTTGAAATTTGTCAGGCAACATTATTTGCTATTTTCCATTATTCCACTAAAGAATGCTACTGAACTCTCAGCTTGAACCCAACATGCAGCTCTGGTTTACGTAGGGGATCATATTCTGCAGGCACTGACCTGCCTGATACCTATGCCACTCTTTGTTCTTCCTGGAGACTCTCAGGCAGTCAAACATCTGCTTATCTCTGCGTCCAAAAATTGCTGCCAAGTTGCAAGCAGCCCCTTCTGTAAGCAGAGTTCAATTTCCCACACAATTAGAAAAAATGGCCACTGATGCTGCAATAGCTTAGCTGGTAGAGCACAAGACTCTTAATCTCAGGGTTCACGGGTTCAAGCCCCACATTAGGCAAAAAGATTCCTGCATTGCAGAGGGTTGGACTACAGAAGATGACCCTCATGGTCCCTCCCAACTCTGCAATTCTATGATGTCCTGAAGGAACAGCCACCCTATATTATTTGTTTTAAACAGAGCATTTGTACCCCACTCTGAAGAGCCAAAAGGGCTCCCAGAATGGTTTTCATAAAATCAACTAAAATAAGACAGGCGCTGCCTGCAGGCTTGCAATCTAAAAAAAGTGAGAAGCAAGGGGGAAGAACAGGGAGGGAAGAGACACAGAAAGCAAACTAAGACACTAATTGTTAAAGAGCATTTCTTATCATGAGCAGCAGGTGTAGAAATAGTTCAGGGGTAGGAGGTGCCTGATGCAGCTGGTCTTTCCACAAAGCTGATGCGAGAAGCCTTGTTTCCCATCCCTCCCACTAAGGCAGCCTGATGGGATGGCCGTTCTGAGCTGTGGGAAACTTTAAAGGATGCCAGCAGTGGGAGTGGGATAAACTTGTTAATTCACATGAAAGTACTTTTTATTTTAAACAACCATTCTATTGCAACGGGTCCCAGGTTGTCTGGAATGACTGCATAATGGTTAATGCAGCCCTATTCAAAGCACCAAGAACTACAAAATAAATGGGGGGGGGGGATGAAAAAAATGGGGGGTGGAGGTTTTTTTTGCCAAAGCTCTAACCTTGACCTAGGATACACCAAATACCTATCTATACGGTCTGCAACCCACCCACTGCAACATTAACCATCAGGCACGCTTAACTTTGCCTCAGCAATAATTGTGTCTTTGGCTTGAAGAGGTGTATCTGCACTTTCTGAAGAATGAAATGTGTGAAAGCTGTAGGTGACAGCTTGCCAGGATATTTTAGCTGCCAAACACTCCCCAAGCCCTTGATCCTGCCATCCACTTCCTATGAATGATACCTTATCTAGGAGCTGCTTTTTAGCTTCCTTCTTTTACCACTTTTCCTAATTCTCACTGTTATTGCAGACTTTGCTAATCATTGCTGTCAAGTATTTTGGGTAATAGCAAATTAACCCAATGCGACGCGGGCAAGCAGAACGAACAAAAGCTTCATATTTGTCCTGGCAGTATGCTGCTGTTTCCTTTGCTAAGGGCCAGCTCCATTCCTGGCTCTGCTTGATAACCCTTATTCACCTCTCTCTTGCCCAAACACAAGAGCTTGCCCAGCCCTGTCACTTCTTGGGGGACCACCGTCCTACCCGATCCATCTTCCTTAAAACAACAAAGTCACCTGAAAGAGGCCTTGTTTGCCCACTCAAACTCCAAGGAGCTTGACAAAGTTATTTTGAAGGGGTTCAATCTCTTTCAACTCAAACACTTCCTGTACGAATCAATTGCTTAAGGTATATGCCCATGCAAGGAATAGATGCATGGATGCTTCATTTGAGATTCCAGCATTGCCGGGGTTTGGAGTAGATGATCCTTGGGGTCCCTTCCACCTCTATGATTCTCTGAATGTACCTGGTTCAACCCAAGTCAAGGCAAGTGACCCGCAGAGAGTTATGTCAATGTCCCAGATTGCCTTGAGATGGAGAGAGGGACCTGTTTCCTGCTCTGGTAACCCTCAGCAATGGAAACACACACACGCACCAATCTTGCTATGAGAACAACATTAAAAAGAGCCTTGAGGCATGTGGTTAGAAAACAATGGCAAGCATTGTTATCAAATAGCAGTAGCTGCATCAGTGTTATAGGAATGGGGTTGTGGAACTACAGAGTAGATAGAGACCTGTGCATTTCTCTTAAGAAGTTACCGTATTTTTCTGTGTATTGGACGCCCCCATGTGTAGGACGACCCCTGTTTTTGGGAACTCCAAATTGAGAAAATGGGGGGAGATTGCTCTGACTTGTTGAGGAGCTGGCTGCCGCCACTTGTGAGGAGCAGGCTGCCAAAGCTTGTGCAGAGCCAGCCGCCGACAATCCTCTATGTGTCCATTTGGAAGATAGTTGAGTTGAGTTCAGTTGGGCTTATGTGGTCTAAACCACTGAGCCTCTCTTGGGCTTGTTGATCGGAAGGTTGGCAGTTCAAATCCCCGTGACGGGGTGAGCTTCCATTGCTCTTTCCCAGCTCCTGCCAACCTAGCAGTTTGAAAGCACGCCAGTGCAAGTAGATAAATAGGTACCGCTGTGGTAGGAAGGTAAATGGCGTTTCCGTGCGCTCTGGCATTTGTCACAGTCCTCTGTGAGCCAGCAGTGGTATAGTTATGCTGGCCACATGACCCTGAAAACTGTCTGTGGACAAACGCTGGCACCCTCGGCCTGAAAGTGAGATGAGCACCACAACCCCATAGTCGCCTTTGACTGGACTTAACTGTCCAGGAGTCTTTTTCCTTTACCTTTTTACTCCCAGGTAAGTATAGGATTGTGGTCTCAGAATTCTAGCTAGGATTAGGGAACATCACCTTTGCTCCACGCAGGAACCTATGCACCCACTTCCTTGATGGCCTTTCCAGATAACAATGATATTTTATCTGTAGCATTACCCTGACATTTGGCTCCACTCAGTGCCAGTAGCATGACTGCAAAATGCTTCTCTACCCCTTTCAATCTGATTTCCAGCCTGGTTAGAGACTGAAATGAGCAAGGGTGGTGGTGGGAAGCTCTAAAGTCAGCAGAAAGAAGGGGAGCTCTGGAATGGTCTGAAAATCAGGAGAACATGAAAGGACCACAAGTTTTACTATGGCACTTTTATAATAAAGGTTACCCATCTAGGGTTGTAGAATCAGCCTTGAATAGGACCAACATCTGTAGATGTGTTATCATGTCTCCTCAAAGAAGAATAGCAAACAACAGAAATTCATGTATTTTTTTCCATTCAGCCAGGTCACAAAAAGATTTACAAATGCAAATATGTTCCAAATGGCATGTAGTACAAGACCTGCCACGTTTGACATCAAAAAACACTTGGTGGTTTTAAAAGAACCAACAATCTTAAAGATTGGTTGATACATAGTGAATATAGAAGTCTCAAGAATACTTATCTTCAGTCCACTCTGTTTCACACAACCAGGCTCACAAGGACACCATCCATGAGATTATGTCCATGGCCCAGTCTGACTTGCAGGAGTCGTTTTTGCGATTGCATGTTCCCACAATAAGATTGTGTGTGTGTGTGTGTGTGTGTGTGTGTGTGTGTGTGTCTGGATGCCAAAACCCAAGTTCGGAGCAGGTACTCTTGGGTGAGAGAGCCCCAGCAGATATTTAAAGTCACAAAATATGCAGCAAAGAAGCATGCGGAAAATCTAGGCTGTCAGACCTTTGAAATATGCCCTTTTAAGTGAGTTCCATAATTTCCCTCTGCCACCAGCATAGGAAAAGACCACACATTTGGTTAGTCAAAATTTTGTTTACTTACAAACTCTTCAAAGTCCTGGTTCATGGTTTTAATTAGACTTCCTGCATTAATTAGACATGAGCATGTTGGTTCTATGAGGTTGGTTATCCCACAGATCTATGGAGGAAAGACATCTAGGCCACTTGCAGCATCAAAGAAGGGGGCCTCAATTAGTAAAACATTTTCTTGAAGAGCAATGTAAATGCAAAAACATTATGTTGTGATCCATTGAAAAGGTCAGTGGTGATGAAAGACCATTAAGTAAAAAGGAATTGTTTCGGACTGTATCCTATGAAAGTCTGGCTCCTAGGGAACTCAGTGAAGATTTTCTGTACAAATATAAACAAGATTTGGTGTATGAGATTTAATGGACCTGTTATGCTAGAACAATTGGGATGTGGATAGGGATGATGGGATAATGGGAGTCCATCAATATTTGGAGGGCCACAGGTTATTTGATTTACATCCCTGATTCATAGAATCATAGAGTTGGAAGAGACCACAAGGGCCATCGAGTCCAACCCCCTGCCAAGCAGGAAACACCATCAGAGCACTCCTGACATATGGTTGTCAAGCCTCTGCTTAAAGACCTCCAAAGAAGGAGACTCCACCACACTCGTTGGCAGCAAATTCCACTGTCAAACAGCTCTTACTGTCAGGAAGTTCTTCCTAATGTTTAGGTGGAATCTTCTTTCTTGTAGTTTGGATCCATTGCTCCATGTCCGCTTCTCTGGAGCAGCAGAAAACAACCTTTCTCCCTCCTCTATGTGACATCCTTTTATATATTTGAACATGGCTATCATATCACCCCTTAACCTCCTCTTCTCCAGGCTAAACATGCCCAGCTCCCTTAGCCGTTCCTCATAAGGCATCGTTTCCAGGCCTTTGACCATTTTGGTTGCCCTCCTCTGGACACGTTCCAGTTTGTCAGTGTCCTTCTTGAACTGTGGTGCCCAGAACTGGACACAGTACTCCAGGTGAGGTCTGACCAGAGCAGAATACAGTGGCACTATTACTTCCCTTGATCTAGATGCTATACAGAAAACAAGAAACAGAATATAACAGGAAGAGGGGTCATTGGACCCCAAACAATGATCCACAATATTAATCCAAGTAAAAGAGGCCCAACATCACATAAAGTCTCAGCAACCTCTCTTTCAGGGTATGAAGGCAACATTATTTTCCCGTGTGATCAAAACAGCAGTGACAGAGCTTTATTCCACATCTGTTAGGTAATGGGGAACTGTCTCTTTGCTTCCCCTTATCCTAAGGTTACACTGACATCTAGTGGAACTTTGCAACATAGCAGTATAGTGAATGCCTTGAGTGCAACAATTTGAGCAATGAAACAAAACGTGTATGGTGCCATTAGTAGAAGAGTTCTGCACTGGTTTAGGTTCTAATTTACTGCTGTTTTTTTTAAAAAAAGACATTGCTGTGTTGCATTGTATTGATGTGTTTTCTGGCTGTATTGCTGATTTCCACCCTGAGTATAGATGGGCCAGAAAAGTTGCTTACAAAAGGAAAAGGAGAGGAACCTAAAGGTAAACTGCAAGTTGCTTCACACTTTCCTTTGCAGAGAAAAGAGGGTGGATGGTTACTTTTTCTTCCTTTGCTTTCCTTTGCTCCTACAGCCAGGTAAGTCCACTAC